AGTGAGAAAATGCGAAAGATGGAATGAAAATATATTTAGAGAAGTAAATGTGGTGAGGTAAAATGCAAAAAAAAATAAATTGAAAAGAATAAATGCTGAAATATAAATACAAAAACACATACACACATATGTCAATAAACATGTGTAATGGAAATGAAAAACTTGTGAAAAGAAAAATCAACAACAAAAGCACCGCACTGATGAAAGCAAAATATGGAATTTCTATTCTCCCCTCTATTTATTAAAAAAGCAATTAGCTTATTGTTTGTGTGAGTGAATTTGGATGCAAGATGTCTCGTGCTGACTGCTGCTTGTCAATAGTAAACTAATTATATACACTTGTACATATATATTCACTTGTGTATCTACGTGTTTCCATAAGCAATGACACAACAAGAGCAGCCAAATGCGCGCAGCGAATTAAAGTGAGCAACAATAGCAGGGGTCAGGCGCAAAGGCCACGGCAACCGGTTAATGAAACACACTAAATATGTTTGTATGTATGTACGTACAATATAAGTGTACGTGTGTACATAGTTCACATATGTCAATAAGTATAAACGATTGAGTTTGTAATAATTTCTGTTCCACTCTCAAGCAATTTAAAATTTGCATTTTGAGTGACCGCTCACTGGGGCGTATGAGTAATGCGAAGACAATAAAGCAAACAAATCGGGAATTTTTGAAATAATAAATATGGAGAATGAGGAAAACTGATTTTTTGGTGCATTACAAACATCTGTACATAAAAACTTGAGAGCGAGCCCTCTTGTCTGGCTGCAGCACAATTGTTGCTGCTACTGTTGACAACGACGATGTTGAGATTATGATGATCGCTATAGCGACGATGATCTCGTCGTTTATAATAATAATCATCTTGCTTTGCTGCAGCTGCATGTGCTGCTGGTCAAGCTGTGTGGCGCTCGTTAGCTGATAGATGCATCTAAACTTAGATGGGTTGCTGTGAGTGGTGGAACGTTTTTTTTTATTAACGATGAAAGATATTAATTCAGTTAGTGATGTGAGGTTATTCAGTTCACTTTGTATTGACTATCGACTATATGATATGTACACATGTACACACATGGGCTTACACCAAGGCCTTTATGTGTGTATGAATGCATTTATGTACAAATATATGAAAGCAAGGAAATTAGCATTTTATTTGTTTATCTTTCTTAGTCTGCTTTCTCGGCGAAATGGGAGGAACTATTGTAATAAAAGCATTGAAATAGCTGGCGAATTAGAGTGATTCCGTATGAGCTTGATACATCATACGCTTAGGAATTGATGACATGAGCATATAAAGAATGTAATAAAATTTTTTGTGCGCTGGTGGAATTTAAATAAACTTTGTTTTGAATTGTGAACTTTTTTTGATTATTATTTTTTTTTTTTTGATACATTGGTGGGCTTGTGTTTGTGCCTTTCGATTTTTGATGTTGTCAGTCTTATGCATAGTAGCACGTTCCCCTTCGAAGACAAAACATTAAGCTGGAAAACTTTGTATCGGGGAGAGTGATTGCTAGTGACGTACTCATCAGAGTTTCATATACAGCAAGCTTTGTCAAAAGCTCACTGAAAGCCCACAATTTTGTGAAAAAAGTTTTTTAGTTGTTGTCTAGTAGGGATTTTATTTAAATTGCCGATTTCGTACCTTTTTTTTTAAATGTAGTTTAAAGGTGTGGGATGCGGTACACGTTTTTCGCAACTCGCTTCTTCTGATTTACATTCAATCCAATTTTTTTAGCATATCCATTAATCACCATTCATATTTGGTCGAGCTGCATCTCCCAAATCAATTGGCTGGAAACGTTAGAGTTCTACTTTCAAATAATTATTGATTCCATTCAAGGTTGACGTCCAAACTTAGATTCAGTAAAAAAAAAAGAAACCAATTTTATATCAGCGCCGGAGTAGGAACTTGAAAGCACAGCTGACTTGGTTGAGAACTCGGAAAACCTCTTTACTACAAAGGCAAAATTTCAACAGTTTAATCAATGATCCTTAAGAAACAATATCAAAATATCTCCACCTCGGTCAAATGCCGGAGTGTGAGTCTTGAAAAAAAAAACTAAGCTATATTCCCTATACTGAAGGTTGTGCCGAGTTTGAAATACCTACAGAAGGTCTATTGCACTCCAAATAGCATAAAGTCTCTACACAAGTGTCTTAAGACTCATACTAATCTATAGAGCACTGGTTTTATATAAGCGATACGTAAAAAAGGCCGTATTAAGACTCTGGTGCAACGTACCTGTCTGCAAGACGTTATATGCGACAGCACCTCATTTGCTAAACAAGTTCCGAATGAACCAGCGCTAATAGCTTCTGCCTTTGTTTCCACCCGCCGGTATTGCATTGAATACTTTCAAGCCAGGATCGCTTACATCCGCACGGACGACATGGCCTAACTAGCTAACTTTGTCAAAGACTTCGTGAGTAAAAGTATATACATATATAGTAGAGAACACGTTTCTCTATCCCAGATAACCAGAAAGATTTCTTTTCATTCATTTTTGCTTGGAGAAAACATCTCGAAGGTTTTTCCAGTGATCTGCTATCATTCAGGCGTTCCAATCTGTTTTGGTATCTTTTTGCCATTCTCTTTATATTTTGGTAAAATCGTTCACGTTGCTCTTGAACCACTTTCTTGAAAGTTTGTAATTTCCAAGAAGCATGGTTTTCATGATCGTGATGAATTCTTAGCTATAAGCCAACAAGCTATTAGGGTTATAGGCACTTTCCGACATATTTGTATCTCAGAGGTTTGGAAGCTTTTTACTAGCAAATTTTCTTTTCGACCTCGTTAAGTCTCCTCGGAGGCTAACATTTTGTGCCGCAGTAATCTGTTCGGCCTCTACTAACCCAGAAGGAACCAATTTCCAGTTTTTGTAAGTTTACTTGAGGTGTACGGTATAATCGACGGGAAAGGAGTAAGAACTGCAAAATTCGTCACTATGCTGGATCACATGAGATTTTGAAAATATTCATTAAACGTTCAATATTGGTGCATTTTTAGCGTTTTTTGTTGTTGAAAGATTCAAGTCTCTTAACAAATAGTTTAGCTTATCCAACGGAATGATTATGGACTACTGGCATTTTCAAATTCCGGTGTGGGTCCAGCACCATCTGCTTGGAGTCTCTTGCAAGATAGAAGAGGTCCTATGAAGCATGAAACGGTTCCATTCTTAATCATACACAATACATGAACAAAAGTAACTTCTTCTTAAAGTAATCTTCATTAATGTCCTACACATCGTTCGAAGACTTCATGAGGTGTTCAAACTTTATCTTGATCTCTAACTTTTACAACAAAATACGTCAAGTTTTATTTCCACTCACTACGGAACTGACACCATCCCACTGTATTGAACAAAGTTTTATTAAACAATGAGGAGTACCAAGGTAAAATTTTTGAGATAAGCAGCGGATCTGGAACACCAACATAGTAAGCTGATATGAGCTGGCCTTCTTCGCCCTCTACTAATGTAAGGGAGTGTTTGATAAAAAATGTGTGTTAAACTCTAAGATCTGTCACTGGATCTTTACATCTGTTATGGGCCCAATATTTTTTATGGAAAATCAGTTAACGTGGAAACTAGATATAATTCAAAGGACTATGGTTAACATAGGTGTTGAGTTAAAGATTCCGCCAAATGCGGCCTTAAATTTTATTCATTTTCTATTAGACTTAATAGGTTTTCAGACTGCAGTACTAACCGCTCTTGGCTTAAGGGTGATCTACTCAAATGTATTTCAAGCTAAAAGTTTAGCAATTAAGGAGGCAGCAAGCTATCGTACATTGGAACTGAGCCCGTGAGGAAGAATATCTTTATTTTCAAAAATAGTCAGACAGTGATTACTTCGCACGTTTATAACGATTTCAAAAAATTGTAGTTTCGCCGAACTCGATAGGAGAGGGTTCCTGGTTAGAAAGATATAGAAGGAAACTCTAAGATACATGAAATCGCTAAGCTACGCGACCAATGCAGATTATTTCTGATAAATACCGCATTGGTTACATGCAAACTGCAACCCAAAGACTTTACTCATGAGGCGACTGAATCAAGGTGGAACCACATTGCATTTACCAGATAGACTTTACTCAAATGCAACCGGAAAAGGTCTCTCAGAATGAGGACCTCTCCAAGGCCATTGCCTGATAGAATGACATATGACAAGGCTGAGAGTTCTTTTTAGGAGATGCCGTAGAAGAGGTAAGAACAATAAGGAGGAAGAAACGGTCTCTCGTCTCTTATGTGACTATGCTATCTTGGGTAGAGTACCAAGGCAACCGACATGGAAGAGCTGTTTTCATCGCAGATAAATGATATAATGAAATTTATAGGAAATTTCGTGGTATTACAATGGGTCTACTTTAGGGTAGGCGTATTGGTTCTTACACTATTATAACCACGTCAGCCTAAGTAACCGTTTCTTGGCGTTTGGTAAAATAAACTGACGCTATGGAATTTTTTGGGTATTTCTGTTTTGTTTTGAGAAACTTTGAATGCATAAAATCAGATCAGTCTTATTGAAGGCAGCCTCAGATCGTCTAACGTAGAAGTAATAGGAAAAATGTGGCATTTGGAGCTGATTTTGCTGTCTTACCCTTTATGTCATACAGTCAGATATTTGTCTACTCTTTTTGAGAAATAGTGCATGGAGCTGAAGGTCTGGTAATAGCTCTTCGTACCATTTTCATATTCCTTCTGTAAATTAAAGCAGATAAGTAGAGGATGATTAAAGGAGCCGATACTCTGATCTCTATTCGGACAGCCCATTTTCTCTGCTTTTGTAAATTTCAATTAAGGCCTTGGTAAAGCTATAAAAAATTACAAGAAAAATTGCGATTTTTTTTACTACAAAGATCATGCAAGTTTTTCATTTTTCTTTGTTTCAATATAAACCTACGTCAGCTCGGTATTATGTAAATAAATTTTCTTTTATTGAATTAAATTGACTACAATTTTGTGTATTTCTTCTCTTCCGCACAGGTGACCGGTGCAGGTAATGGCCTTGGACGGGAAATAGCAATTGAGCTGGCCCGCAAGGGTTGCAAATTGGCCATTGTGGATGTGAACTCAAAGGGCTGCTATGAAACAGTTGACCTCATTACCAAAATACCAAGTGCCGTGGCCAAGGCTTACAAGGTAGGCGTATACATATATACGTACATATGTATGTAAATAAATATGTAAATAAAAACCAAGAATAATTCGAGTACCAATGCATGGCCAGTAAGTGTGTACGTGTATTCATGTAATTATAATCATATACATGTGTATATATGCATATTTATCTCCATGATGCACATATGCATGTGTAAACACATACACATGCGCATAAAATCATTTTCCTTTCACTCGCAGCGGTAAATATACATAAGCCAATTACATGCAAGGCTATACTCGTTACCCACTTGAATGTTTTGCATGAATACACGTACATACACATATAGTACATACTATACTCGTACATACTTCGTAAAGCTGGACAGAAGAATCTGCCTTCAGTTGTTTGATTTCTTTTTGGCGCCACATGTTTACTGAATTTAATTTGCATATCCTTTTATCCTCGCTTAAATTGAATTCATGCATTAACAATTTTTTATGCAGACCGATGTGTCGTCGCCTCGTGAATTACAATTGATGGCCGTGAAGGTTGAGAAGGAATTGGGTCCTGTGGAGATTTTAGTTAATAACGCTTCGTTGATGCCCATGACTTCGACGCCACATTTGACGAATGATGAAATTGAGACCATACTTACTGTCAATTTGGGTTCCTACATTATGGTAAGCGATGAGTCATTTATGTCTATGCGTAAATATTATATATAAAATATTTTATTATTAATTTTCAACATTTAATTTGCAGACTGTTAAGGAGTTTCTACCCAAAATGGTCGCTAGAAAGTCGGGACATGTTGTAGCTGTGGCAGCATTGGCTGGTGAGTACTAAAACTGAGAAATTTGCTTTGAGCTTTAATTTAAGGATTCGTGTCTAAATATAATGAGCGCTTGGAATCGTTGATAGGAATTTCAGTTAATTCTAAGCTGGCTTCAAACGACTTCGGGATTCTTATAAGAAGCTTTGATTTTCATGTCAGAAATACACTCGGAGAGCTCGGTATGCCCTGCTTATGGGCGACTGCAATCAGAAAACTTTATTTTCTATATTTTTTTATATGTTGTTAGGTCAGGTCAGAAAATTGTTCCACATGTAATATCGGATCATCAAAACTGCAGGAAGAAAGCTCATTGGGTGTTGTGAAAGAAGACAAACTGAGAGCTGGTCAATGTTGGCAAAAACTCCTTGTGTTCAAGACATACGTTGAGCATTTCGGAGTTGAATCGACGTAAAATATAAACCTTTCTACTATATCAAAACTTGATTTCGTTACATTACAGCGTATTTCACAAAATTGGCTGACCTCTTCGCCTGTAACGTGTGTCACACTCAATAGAACTCAATAAAACCCTTTCAGAGTGTTCTGATCAAATTTGTGAGTACGCGGCTCAGAATTATTTAGGTGTTATTACCTCCAGCGGTATTCTAATGAAGCGCTAGCAGGAGTCCATATCAATTAAGGCATTATTTTTATTGTGCCTGGTAGGCGGTTAAGACCCCAGCTAGTGGTTTAATTCTTAGGATTTCGCTGCGATTCGCTACATCGCTTGCAATCATTGCCGAATGAAGAGGGTAGAGCTGTTGAATGTCACTTTAATTAATAATAAGGGGATATTATGTGAAATAGGAGGAAACCGCATTTTTTATAAGGAAAGTTTCTAATTCCATTGATTAAAAAATTTTGAAGAATTCTATTCAATGGCGCTCGTTTTCATGGTCGTGGAGTGGAGGGATATGGAGACTCAACGAGAAACCGCGCGATTTCTATGAATCAGGCATCCGTAAATTGGTTGAACGTCGGAAGTGGATTGCCGAACATGATGGCGAATATATAATTGATTAATAAAAGCGCTTTCTTCAAAAAATTTCAATTTTAGTTTGCACTTGAAATCGGGCAGGAACTTATGCACTCATCCAATAGTAACAGGAAATATTTTGTTTAATTTTGGTTATTTGACAACGAAATTTTACTGTTACTTATTGACTCGAATTGGATAGAATCCGTAATTTAAGCGGCTCTTTGGCTGCACTTGTGGTGCTCAGCACATTACGTTAATTGCTTTGAGAGTCTTAATAATTGCTTTGAGAGTCTTAATAATTAGAAGCAGAGAGATATCGGTCGATATGATTCAATTAGACTCAATAGCTATTAGATCTCAAGATTTTATTCGAACTTTTTCGAGCAGCTTGAGCATTTCACCAACGAGCACTCGCACTTTTTTTATTCTGTTTGAGCGATTCGAGATTTTTTTCTGTATTTTGAACAAAAAATTTGATTTTTTTTTATAATTGTAAATTTAATTACACAAAATGTAGAACTTATTGAAATACTTATTGACGGGCAAAACTGAAAATTTAAAAATTTCCAACAAACATTTGAGCAGTTGAGCACCAAAGAGTAACGAACGAGTATCAAGCTGCTCTCATTGTTCAATATTCGGGGATCTCGAGCTCTTTTAGACATTTCAATCATTCCAAGTAGCAGGTATCACAGGTGTAACAGATTTCTTTATATTTTGGGGATTGCAGCTCAAACCGCTACCGCTTGCCAGTTTTTTCTTCTTTTGGTAGTTTTTTCGAAACGCCACATGAAGCCAGCTTGCTCTCACTTGATTCTTCCAGCGAAATAAAGAATTTCTACTTTTTTGACTTAGCCAGTGTAGCCGTTGACTCTTTATTCACTGAACTGTGCCCTTTTTGTTGTGTTCGTCCAACCCAAAGCGCAAATAACCACAAATCTTCTGCAAAAGCTTTCTTCCGCAAGCTCCCTAAGTAGGCTAATCGGATGTTGCCATCGTCCATGACTATGGACTATATAGCAGGACAGAATAGATGTGCGACTTCTAGAGTTTAGTTTTTATTCAATACTCTAAAATAATTCCGCATTGGTTTTCAAGACATACATTATTGATTATATAAATGCTGGTACTTAGATAAAAAGAATTATCTACGACCTCGAAGTTATGACTGTCAACAGTGTCCCGGTATCCAAGACTCAAGTGCGCTTATGGTTCGTTTGATGACAAGGGGCATTACGTGTTGTTCTCCTTAACTTCCAGACTCATTTGTTTTACTTCTTTTACCAATATAAAGAAATCAAAACTAACCTAAAACTAATTGGTTGTTAGGGTCCTTGCAAAAGATGCTTTAAGCTTAAGCTGATATAAATTTTTGGTAAAATTTTGACCTAAAATCTGAATTGTTGCTGACATACTTGGCATTTTCGAACGTTCTTTTGTTACTGATAATTGGTTTTCGGCTTGCCCACTTACTATGCCTACGTAATGCGCCCTCAATTTAATTACACCTCACATACCAGTGCACATACTTCACATGCCTTTATTGAATTCTTTTAATGCTGCGGAAATTTCATTATTGCAGGCATGGTGCCATTACCAGGCGCTGGAATTTACACTGCCACCAAATATGGAATTATGGGTTTCATGGAAGCGTTGCGCGGCGAATTACGTCTCTCCGATTGTGATTACATACGAACCACCGTTGCAAATGCCTATCTAATGAAGACTAGTGGCGATTTGCCCCTTCTGAGTGATGCGGGGTAAGTAAAACAAATATGTTTATCATAGTACGAGTAAGCATGTGTAGAGAAAGACAGCGAGCGAGAGAGAGAGAGAGAGAGAGAGGGAGAGATAGTGGGAGACAATATAATATGATTGAAATATGCTTGTGTGGATTATTGTGGTTATCGTACTTAAGATTTTGAGATATGATTAAAAGCAATTAATGGCGTGTGGTGAGTATTTGTTGGTGGTAAATGAAAACGTACCCACATAAATGTTGCTGTTTGTTGGGTTCCCAAGCTACCAAGAATTCCATAATCAAAGATGCTGCAGACTCTCAAACAGGCCCAGCAAACATAAATATTCTTCTTCGAATTTTGAAATTTGTAGTTCTGGAATTTATTATCATAAACCATCCTACAGTCTACTTCCCTGGAGGTCCTTCAGGGAGTTTATAGTTATCAAGTCGATAGATATGCTTTCCGTATTCGTTATAAAACGCTTAAGCCAAATAACATTAGAGAAATTTTTGAAAATTTGAGCTACTCCGGTTCAAAAGCATAGTTCTTTGGCTTTGTAGGAAGTGATTATTCGAGTTCTATAATTCTGAATTTATATTTCCTCCAGCTAAAATGGTTCTATAGAGTTGCAGATATTTTGAGTAAATTTATTTTAAAATACATCTAGACTTCAAAATTTGTATCTAAAATCTCTCCAATGGTTTCCGAACTTTGCAGACACTAAGACAAAATTATTTTCATAAAACCGATTACCAAAAATACTTTCAGCGAGATTTCAGCTCCATAACGGTATTAAATAACGTTTTCAATTTAATTTAGCAAAAGCTAAAATTGTCTCTAGTTGTTGTGAATAATAGTAGCGGAGAGATTTTGAAAGTTATATAATACTCAAGTTAATATCTAAAATTTATTTTGGTTAGATTTCGAAACTTTATATATTTTTAAAGATAATATCAAGAAAGAATTTTAAAGTTGTCAATACAACGTTGGATATCAATTTAACCTCAAATATAATCGAAAGTTAAAGGTTGATTGGGTTTGTGTGTACGTATGTCACATTTCTGTAATTATGCAAATCCAAGTTTATAATTATTGTGGCTCACTACCTGGCGGAGGGGAGCTCCAAAAGTACGTCGAATAAAGGATAAGATATATAGGCCTATTCTCACTGTTACTGGTAAAGTAAATTTTGTTACTTTTTTTAACACCCGAAATTGAATTTGGTATTCCGGCGAACTGGTTACAATGTTTGAAAAAATTTGGCAGCACTGCCTTTTTCGTCCATGTAAAATTACATTTGCCAGTTGATAAATTAAAAAGGAAAATATTCACATCAAAATGGAAGACGGTGCACAAAAAAATTAAAATTTTTGATTTATTTGTTTATTAAATCAGAAATATTTGAGCCTAATTTTGGAAAATATGCCTGGACAACAAGAAAAGCTGAATGAACACGTTATCTTTAATTTGTAAGATTGTAAGGGCTATTTTTTTGTCCCGAAATCTTCTTAAAATACGGCTTTTTGCGCTTTTTTCTTCATCTTTAATGAATTCCAGGCCTAAAATATGTCTACCCGTTTTGGTTTTTTATTTTTTCTCAAACTTACAGCACAAAATCAAACATCCTATTTCGCTTGTAACAAAATTTACTGGGCAACAGCGAGCTCAGAATACGAAATGGTAACAAAAATTCCTGAATGGCAAATTTTAATACCTAGGTAAATTTGTCTCCGTGCTCGTAGTTTCTAACATCATTTCAGTACATCTGTATTTGTGCTACTTAAGTTTAATGCCTAATGCAGTGTTTATTTATTATTTATAATTTTTTATTTATATCGCTCGCTAAACCTAAATTTGCCAGCAGCAAGCCGATAACCAGGGGTAACCACATTGGACGACATGAAAAATACTATTGAGGAAATGATTGTTTTTGAAAAAATATCGGCATTGGTTAGAATACTTATATACGAAGTGTTGTGAATGAGAGCCACATGTCCAATTTTTTATGATTTTCAGCGTTAATATTTCATTTGTAAGGCCGAACAGATGGCAACTTAGTTTACTATTCAGACAACGAGTTTAAGTCTGTGATTTTTGCTCATTTCAGCGAAGAAAATAAATAAATAAAATATTACTGTACAGACCAGTTAAGCCACTCAATGAGTATATGTGTTCAGACTAAAACAAATTATCTGAAATAAAATAATTGAAAACATTTTTTGATCCCTTGCACAATCTGCTCATTTCGTGAACATTTGGAACTCCCCTCATTGGTGAGAAATATACGTACATAAAGTGAATTTGCCTTATATCCTTGGAATTTTGCACAGTTGGACTCTATTGTTATGGCCTTAGTGAGTATACATACAGCCATGGACAAAATTAGAGCACACTTTCCAGTGCTTTACCTTCTTCTTTATTGGCGCTGGCGACACTTACTCGATTATAGCCGAATCAATATTAGCGCGCCATTCTTCCCTTAATTTCGATGTCTGGCGCCAGTTGGGAATACCAAGTACAGCCAGGTCCTTCTCTACCTGGTCATTCCAACGGAGTGGAGATCTTCCTCTTCCTCTGCTTCCACCAGCGGGTACTACATCGAATATTTTCAGAGCTGGATTGCTTTCGTTCATTCCAGTGCTTTACCGCATTAATAAAAAACCGGTTCGAAAAGTATAATCAGTTAAGTCTCTGAGGAGTAGCCGCTATTGATTCAGAAGATGAAATTCCACTAAGGGTTGTAGATTAAAAACTATATATCATGATCATCGCACGCAAGTTCAGATCTAATGAAGAATCACAAGTTCTTGGCTTGTCGATAATTAAGCATTAAAACAAAATAATTTCTCCGTAGACCTAGCCGATATTGAGCTTAGGTTCTCGTTAAGTTGTTGACAAAAATAATGAATCGAGCTGAGGAGATCCAAAGTACGTGTGCGCATGGTTTGAACAATCATTATGGACTTTTATCTTTTAAAACCTGCCGTCCAAAATAGTTTCCCATGAGTTTTATTGCAAATTTGATGTATAATTGATACCTTGCAACCGCTTAACCGATTTTTGGCCAAGCTACTCCTCCATTTTGTGGTCTTGCGTCTTGATATTTTTCCAAGTAATTAAGGGACCAACAGTTTATACTAAGCCGTCTCCGAACGGCTGATGGTTATTTTATGAGGAGCCTTTATTTCATTTCAGAAATAGACTCGGGTCAACTCCTACATTCCCTGCCGAGGGGCGATCGGAATTAGAAAATTTAACTTAATTTTTTATTTCAATAAATTTTCTATCTGTTTTTGGATGTTAGTACGACACCAGAATTTGAAGACAAGCCTTCCGAATGGCAATACACAATGCTAACCACTCGGCTCCCGTGTAGTTTTTCACATAAAAAATTGTGTGTAACAGATTTAAAAATCTTGGAAATATCAAGGAAGCAGCACTTTGGTTGTATGACCAATAAAACTAACAGCGGAAAAACGAGATTGACCGGCACTGAAATCTCTCTGAAGAAGGTTGAGCAGCCTATTTTTTATGAATGAAATCATATAATCACATCAAAGAATTGTCTATTTTTTTGGCCATCGGTGTGACATTTGCTACTATCCGCTTGGCTGGGAAGCTGGAAAGTGATCGAGTAATCGAAAGATGGACATTAGATTGGTTACTCGATATGCAGCTACCCTCAGAGTAGCTCTCAAATAGAGTGAATGCAAAGAACAAATATATTTTCCATTAAAGTTCAATTCACAAATCTCAAATCAAGGAAATTTCTAATTTATTTTTTAAGAATGTTAAGATAAGTAAATTAACTGGAGCTACAACACCAGACTACGGCATTTTCACTGTTGGTCTCTTGATGTTTTTTTTTGTGATGCAGCTATTGCCATGCCAGCAGTAACGCGCTCCGATTTATCTATGTACTTAGAACTTTACTTTACCCACACAAAAAATAGTCCAGTGGTGTTAAGCTCCATGATTTTGAATACCACGCCAAGAGCACACGCGCTCATTAAAAATTCCCTTCAATAAATTCATTGTTTCGTTTCGTTTGCTGTTATGCAAGTAGAAAAAAATGTCGTTCACTTCAATAGCCTTCAATTTAGGCAGAGACGTCAACTCAACAAAGGCTTGTGGATTATCATCAATCCAAAAGCGACAATTTTGTTTATTAACATTTCCATTACACCAAAAGTGAGCTTAACGAATGTAGGAAATTTTCTTGTGAAAATCTAGATCGGTAGGCATCTCGTTTTGGATCCATTCACCGAAATTGTAACACGTTTGATGGTAGTTTGGGTCATTTTCTTCCACGAGTCTATTTTTAAAGCCTGCAAACCAAGGTCTTTCCGCGAAATCTTTCATAAAGTGGATGGGTACAACTTCAATTGTTGCGCGCGATAGCGTGTGAATTTATTCGGGTCTTCTGTGACACTCTGTACCACAGCAACAGTACCATCTTCGGTGCGCACTGTATAGCTTCTCTTAGAATGTGCAACATCCCTTTAAAACAACGTGGTACAGAAGCGATCTGCATATTATTGCTCAAATTACACACTCTGCTGGGTGATTATGTCGACCGAATATTGTATGCAACACCCGATGAGTCGCGAGAACCTCCCATTACGATTTGCAAAGGCTGTTTCTGAGCAAGTCTGTTCATTATGAAACATAAATTGAACGAAATATAGCAAGCCACAACAACGTGTGAACGGGACTACAGGTTTGAGAAAAAGTAGTTATTCGCAACAAGAAAAGCCGTTAAAGCCTTAGAAACCACGTATAGAGGGAAAAAGGAATTTGCAGAAAAATATTAAAATTCTTTTTCTCATAAAAAGAAAGGGCAATTTATTAATTTTACTCCCATATGAGCTGTGTGTTATATTTAATAATCCTGTTACATACCACGCAAATCGACATATTGATTTGTTAATTATTTTTTATTGTAATTTTTATGACAATCACCAACTGGTAACCAACCAAACCGACGTTTACCTTTAATTGGATTATCTTCAAATTATGTACATACATACATACGTGAACATGCAACACAATCAACCGTCTACCTCACTTCACGCTGACAACACACATACATACATAGCATAATGGCCAGCTATCCGGGTTTGCCGACACCCTACGTCGCTGAGAAGATCGTACGCGGTGTCCTGTATAACGAGCGCATGGTGTACGTGCCGAAAATTTTTGCGCTTACTGTGTGGCTGATCAGGTGAGTACGAGTCTGTCTATTGGAATATGTACATACATACATACATACATATGTATGCTCGCATATGCGTTTGGCTGGCTATTTTTACCAACATTGCAAATAATTAAATTCAATTAAGAAAAGTTGAAAAAAATTGAAGAAAAATTGGGGAAAAGTATTGAAAACAAAAAAAAAAAAAATAGTAATAAAAGCGCAGCAGATGAGAGGGCCAGCAATGTTGGTGAGAATGTGCCACTTAACGGTTATTATTTAATTATGTTGCAATTGTGAATCGCATTGCTGTTGCAATTATCGCATTTATTCTAGTTTAATTCACTTTACTCACACTTCCCATTGGCGCTTTTTCTTCATTTTTCTTTCTTTCTACTTTTATTCGACTTTTTTCGCGCAGATTGTTGCCAACTAAGTGGCAGGATTACATGTTGCTGCGGTTTTATCATTTCGATGTGCGCAGTTCGCATCTTTTCTACTGGAAATAAACGCTGGCGTCCGGCAGATAGGACATACCGACACACATCATACATACAAACACACACATTCCCCCACTCAGCAAAATCTACATGCGTACATACATATAGATGTACATATGTACATATACATATGTGTTGGTGTTCAATTTGGAGCAGTTGTCATTGTTGCAAATACATGCATACATATATACGTACATGTGCACCTGCTTTAGCGAATGTTCGTGGTCACACACATACGAGTGTACACGAGTACATGCATACGTACATGGATACGTACATGGATATTTACATTTATGCATTTACTTTTATCCACTTTCACATATTGATGTGAAACATTAATTTTATTATTGCTGGCATTTTGTATTGAGAACTTTAATTACTTTTTATTCTATTTCATTGCATTTTATTTCACTTCCTTTATGTTTTTGCTTACAGTGTATTCATTTACTGATACGAGTATATTAATTTTATTTTGTAAGTAAATAAAAAATAATTGAAATTAAAAAAAATCTAGTGTAAGAGTAAAATTTTAGTCACATACATACATATTTATAAAAATATATACTAAATGAAATAAAAATAATTATATATTGTATACACTTATTAACATACTATATCTATATTTAATGAAATTGATATTTCGACAGTTTTTGGCATATACAAAAAATATATGTACTTCTTAGCCAGCTTTTTGGCGCTAATGATACCAAGTCTTAAAATTTAATTTTAAACAAAATGACAAAAACTATTGAATTCCAAAGCTTAGTGCAAAAATTAAATTCTTTAAGCTCTGGAAAGAAATCATATTATAGAAATCAAATTTATCTATATGCGTCCGAAAGCAATGCCAACTCCTCCGTATGCATTTCTGACTTGCGATAAAAGCTCCTCATAAAAATCATCGGCCGTACGACATTTGTTGGAGAAACATCAAGACGTCTACTACAAATTGGGAAAAGAGCACCGCCGAAAATCGTTTCAGCGATTACAAAACGCCAAACCCGAACAGTTGTATCGATGCTATGAGCACTTCCCAGCAGAAAAAGTATTCCCAATAGTAGTGTGGGCCCAAAGCTACTATTGCACCAAAATTTCATGTAAATCAAACAATTTAAAAATAAACTCGATTCTTTCGTATAGGTCGATCTCAGGCTGATTTCACGGAATTTCGTTTTTTGGTGCGCACGTCACACATCGAACACATCCTTCAAGTTTCAGGTTTCCACAATCAGGTGTACACAATCAGCTTTGGGTTGATTCGTCAGTCATTCAGGGCAAGGGCTCTTAAGGTCAGAAAGTTTCTTTAATGACTACGCCAATAATGAGCGCGTTTTGTCAACTAGTTTGTTTGCAGCAGCTATTGAAATCAGTCGTCCTCAGTTCCCTCTTCGAATTTTCCTTTACGGCCTCAATCGAGTCGAAACGCGTTCCACGTAGTGATAACTTGAGTTTGGGAAACAAAAAGAATCGCATGGGACCAAATTCCGTGAGTACGGTGGCTGATCGATGGTATTGAACGAGTCTTTGGTCTTAAAATCGTTCACAACTATAGCTCGGTGCGATGGCGCAATATCGTCATAAACAATTCATGACTTGTGGGCCCACAATTCCGGCCGTTTAAGACGGACGTTCTCTCGCGAACGCCTCAAACGCTTCAATAACACTCTTTATTGACCGTCTGTTCCGTCGGAATGAATTCATGTGTTAAGGTGAATCAAACCGCGAATATCGAAAAAATTGATATCCAGAAACTTTCTGGTCTTAAGGCACAAGCTCCTAATAGAAAAACTCCAAGTTTTTTTCAAAAAATATGTTGACAAGTCATAACAGATTGTCCGCAATGTGAAGAAGTATTCAATGGTGCTTCCAACTTCCTCCCTATCCGTTTAAAGCTTCTAAGTCTTCCTACTCTCGCAAGTCGTAGAGAATTTTCCGTAGTGAAACTGCTTAATGGATCAATTTCTACTTCATGGCTCTTATTTGAGTTAAACTTGAATGATCCAACTCTTGTATCTAGGCAGTTTGAACCTTTACTATGAACGCTCTCGCCGATTGTGTCACAATTTTAATTTTCATTCCAGCACCTTCGATCTCTCTATTCTCAGCTGTTGAATAGTTATTTATTTTTAGCAGCTGAACAGTTTTAAATCTCGAGGCTCAACAAACGTTTCCCAATTATGATTCGGCATATTTCGTACGTTATGCGGATGTCGCCTCTCGTGTCGGTTGGGCGGGTGGAGGGTACTCGTTGGGCTTATTATTATTATTTTTACCGAAAATACATAAATATATATTTATTTTCACGCTATGTAAGGTGGCTTTAATATCGATGAAGAAGTGTTGTGGGAAGAGATACGCAGGCGACTGATAAGTTAGCGGGCGAAAGTACTTAAAGAAACAAATATATAGTTTAAAATTTTGTACTTTTCAATACAGACCTCCTCTAGCGAAATAGATTTTTCACATCGTGAATACAATGGCTTTATAACACTGGAAGTATATTCTTTGGATTTCTCTTCAAACTAGTTTTTACGGCCGTTTTCATCTCGCTGTCGTCTGAAAATCTTCGCCTTTTGGAAATTTAAGAAAAAAGTCGTTGGCAGGCAGGACCAGTAAATCCAGTAGCTTTCAAGGCGTTATCTTGAAGAAACAGCACTCCGCGCGATAACTTGCCACGTCTTTTCTGTACGACTGCCTTGTGCGCCTAATTCAACAAATTAATGTTATACTGGCCGTTAATTTTAGTTTCTTCTGCAAGTAATCAATTTATAATTTTACCTTTTGCTATCCAAGAAAATGATAGCTATAATCCTTGAGGCCGACTTTTCTATAGGTCTCTCTCTTCCTTGCCGATCACATTTTTTATGATCGTTTATGAAGGGGCAAAGTGCTGAAGAGCCGATGACATCTCTTTAAAAATTTCATTATACGTACTTCCTGTTTTACAAGGAATTTTATCACATCGCACGGCTGCAAATTGTGAGAATTTTCAGTTTCCATTGAAATAGTGTGGTTGCTTCTTCCATGAACGAAATGTACGTGCTAATAATGAGTCCCTCAATTAGTATTATCAGTAACGAGATGATGTATCATCTCCAACTACCTCAGGTCGCGAAAAAGTCGGCCAACCCACATACATACGTGTATATTCAAGTAAATACTCTAAAAATCGATCCGATTGTTATTTTGATAGTTACACGCATATCTTTAACGATACATCAGGGCATTTGGAAGCATTTTGAAACTCTAACCTTGTTTTTATTAAAACTTTGTTTTTCAAGTCGGTGACCAAGATTATCGGGAACGGCTGAACCGATTAGTCTCAAATTTTTACTTGGGTTTCTGAATAATATTTTCAAGTACTTAATCCAAGCTATCCCTACTATTCGGTGAAAAGTTTTTTTTTTAATGCGCAATTCGAGACCAAAATTATAGAATAAAATGTAATTTTTTTTTTGAGAAGCCACCATTTGGTCAAATAAAATTGTGTGCCTTATTCTTTCGATTAACCACAAGATTATACATCATTTTAACGAAAATAAAACTAAAAGTTTCCTCGTGAAAAATGATTGAAAAATCTCATTTTGTAGGGCTCCTAACCCCTTCATCTTTCACACAGTATCCTAGATAAGACTGTGTACACTACTCGTGGAATAATTAACCCTTACAGGCCTATTCTGTCGAGGTAACAAAATTTACCTAGGTATTAAGATTTACCATTCAGTAAATTTTGTTACCATTTCGTATTCTGAGCTCACTGTTACCCTGTAAATTTTGTTACAAGCGAAATAGGATGTTTGATTTTGTGTTGTAAGTTTGAGAAAAAATAACGGGTAGGCATATATAGCCTGGAATTCATAGAAGATGAAGAAACAAGCGCAAAAAGCCGTATTTTAAGAAGTTTTCGACACTAAAAAATAGCCCTTTAATTTGTAAGATAACGTGTTCATTCAGCTTTTCTTGTTGTCCAGGCATATTTTCCATAATTAGGTTCATATATTTATGATTTAATAAACAAATTAATAAAACTTTTTAAATTTTTTTTGCACCGTCTTCCATTTCGATGCGAATATTTTCCTTTTTAATTTATCAACTGGCAAATGTAATTTTACATGGACGAAAAAGGCAGTGCTGCCAAATTTTTTTAAACATTGTAACCAGTTCGCCAGAATACCAAATTCAATTTCGGGTGTTAAAATAAAGTAACAAAATTTACTTTACCGGTAACAGTGAGAATAGGCCTGTTAAAGTGAATACTTAAAGCAAATGATTTTTTTTTTGAAAACGTGTAATCGCTGATACTTTACTTTGAGAAAAAAGTAAATGAGTACAAATTATTTTCGGGATGAGTATTGACACATATTTCCAGTACGCAAATGAGAAATTGATCGGCATAAAACGTTATTTGTGTGTAGAATTTTGTTTTAGATAATTTTATGTACTTAGTTGTACTCGGTTTTCGATAGAGGTATATGTATGTAAGTAGCATACAAATGTGGTACAAGCAGGAAGATAACAAAACACCGAAGCTACCATGCCACTTGGGTTATCTGATAAATGAAGTTTAGTGATTTTTTAATATTCGCAGAGTGAGCAAGCAATTTTCGGCATTGATGAGAAAGGGCCACACATTTTTCGAAAATTTTATTTCAATACCACAAAAGAACAGTCGGAGAAGAAAAATTCAAACTTGCAATGGTATTTAATATACGGAAGCTGTATGTAATTCAAATTGTCTGCACCGTTCATTTTGTTGCAACGGTGCGTGGCAAAAACTATCGAGAATGCCTTGGCATTGATAAAGTACAAAAATATGTTGCCAGCCGGGACAATTGTGCGAAATACATTTATTGTGACGGCAACAATTCCTTCGAAGGTGAGTGTTTGGATGACAACTATTTCAATGAGAAAGAAGGTAAATGCGATGATCGTGCAGCGGTTGTATGTAGAGTGGGTCAGCAGTTGATGGTGGACGATAGTGGTGGCGCAGCGCAAAGTAACCAGCTCAGCTCGCAATGGAATTACGGCAGTCAAATCAATAACATCGGCGGTCCTTTGGATGGTTGGCGTCTCGATGGCACTTACTATAATACGAACATCGGCAGTGGTCAGCAGAATGTGCTAAGCAATTGGAATGTTATTGTGAGTCAAATGTCCACACAGCTGCAGCCAAAACAAGAACAATTAGATCTTACACAACTTGGCATGGGTGGTGTTGTTGGCAATGAAGTTGTAGCGGGTGTGGCACAAAATGCCATTGATATGGGTTACACTGGCACCACAACAGCAGTCGCCGAGCCGCCATTGTGTCCGATACGCTATGGGCTGCCTAATGTTTTCTACCTGCCGAACCGGCAGTCGTGCTCAGCTTATTATGCATGTTATAACGGTATAGCCATACCGATGGTTTGTCCACGCCAAAGTTATTTCAACCTGGAGATGGCGCGGTGTGAACAACAAAACAATATATACTGTCCGGTGAGTTTTTAGTGGCTTAAAATTTATGTTACAGCCCTAAATATATTTACATACATACATACTTACATATAAAGTATTCTTTTTAGACATATGGTTTTTGAATAGAAATAAAACGCAGTTAATTTAATGTCATGTCTCAGAACTTAGCTTTCTTATAAAGACAGGGCTTTGTCATTATGTTTTAAAACTGGTTTCGGACAGGTGGCAGCCGTGGAGAGGCCCAATTTTCGACCACTTTTTGCAGTATTTAGTGTCATGTGTCAGCAATATGGAATATTCTATTTCAAGACGTAGACAAGGGTTTAACCAGACGATCTTGGAGGATACGCCATATTCCCACGACGCGAAATAATTCGCTCACTGAAAGTTTCCTTCATTAAATTTATTATTTTTGGCTGTATGGCATGTAGCGCCATCTTGTTGAAACTAATGGTCATACACATCAACATCTTCCAATTCAGACATAAATCATGGTTATATAGCGTTCCCATGTAATTACGGCCGGCTTTATTTTGGTAGCAAATTATTTACTCTTCCCTAGAGCACTCCACATAGTGACTTTTTGAGGATGTAACAGCGCGGTAGCCGAGTGGTTAGCATTGCGTACTGTCATTCGGAACGCCCGGGCTCAAATCCCGGTACGACCAACATTCAAAAGTTGTAGAAAATTAATTTAAATATAAAATTAAGTTAAATTTTCTAATTTCGAGAGTATTTCTGACATGAAATAAAGGCTTCTAAACAAAAACCATCAGCCGTTCGGAGGCGACTTAGTGCAAAGTGTAGGTCTTTCCATTTGTTGGATAAACATTAAGACGAAACACTACAAAATTTGAGGAGGAGCTCGGACGGAATATCGCTTTAGTGGAAAACTCGCAAAAGTGTCAATTATATTAGGTGTAGTAAAAAGGAATCCATTATTTTTCCAATAGATGGCGTAATTTACCTTTATCTCGCACTGTATTAGTCCTTTACGGTTCTGCAAGATTTCGGTAGAAAGATTACATTTCGTACTAAAAATCCAGAAGCACAGTAGGAATTGGAAAGGACCTTTCGGAGACGTTGGTACCAAACGAGGTTTCAGATATGGTGGCTCTTTGTCGTGTGATTTCTTAAATTTAATGCTGGAGAGAATGATAAGAGCTGCAGAGCTAAATAGAGAAGCTACAATCTTCTAAAAGAGTGTGAAACTATTGGCGCACGCCGATGATATTGACATTATCTGCTTCACCAACCGCGCCGTTAGTTCTGCTTTCTCCAGGCTTGATAAAAAAGCGAGGCGAATCTATTAGCGAACGAGGACACGACGAAATATCTCCTGTCATCGAACAAACAGTCATCGTATTCGCGACTTGGCTTCCCCGTCAATGTTGATAGTCATAACTATGAAGTCAGTCTTGAAATTCAGCGTAGAATCACTATTGCCAACATGTGCTTGGACTGAGTGGGCTATTGAAAAGTAAAGTCCTCTCCCGACAACATCAACATCTGATTATATGGCGTTGGGTGTTTTCGGGAGGAAGGTTTTGAGTATGGTCCTTTACGCGTTGACAACATTGTCGAGTTCGACCGTCATATAAGCACTGTTTCGATTGCTCAAGAGTTAAAGATGACACAAAAAATCGTTTGAAACCAATTGAATAAGGCTGGACACGAAAAAAAGCTCGATGTATGGGTGCCACACAAATTAACTCTCGTGTCCTCATGGACAGAATTTCCATCTGCGGATCGGTGATGAATCCCAACAAAATCGGCCCATTTCTGAAGCGGTTGGTGATCGGTGATGAATGATGATCATCGATGATAATCACTTACGACACCGACAAGCAAAAACGGTCGTGGTCGAAATTGTGTGAGCCGGCAGAAACGGTGGGCATCGGCAGGGAATTATCTACTATAAGCAGCTACCATGCGGAAACATGGAACAGTACTGTCAACAATTGGACTGTCGAAAGGTAGCAACCGTCCATAAGCGGCCAGCTTTGGTCAACAGTAGAGGAATTGTGTTCCAATAGGACAACGCCAGGCCACACACATCGATACTCGCTCTCCAGAAGCTTAGGGAGCTTGGTTGGGAGTTTCTTATGCAACCATAATTTATACCGGACATGGCATCAAGTGATTACCATCTGTTTCTGTCAAAGTCGAATAATTTCGCTGGTGAAAAATTCGCTTCAAGAGAGGCTTGTGAAAATCGACTGTCTCAATTTTTTGTCAACAGTAATGAAATTAATATTAAAATGGCAACAAGTTATAGAAAAAACGGCGTATATTTGCCCTAAATTGTACCATTCTAACTACGGTAATTTCATGCAAAAATAATGGATTTCCTTCGCTTTGCTTCAATTCTTGCACGAATTGCATTTTGTAAGCTCGCTAACCAAGATCACTCCGCAAAATCTTCCATAATGCGAATGAGCATAGCTCCAAATCTTGCGCATGTTGAGTGATGGACTCATTCAGGTCTTCTTCGATACCCTGCTTCACAGCAGCAATAGCGTCTTCAGTGCGCACTTTAGGGTATCTCTAAGGATACGCATTATTCACAAGAGTAAATCTGATGCAAAACCGATCTTTGCTGGCTCGAATTTCCGACTCTGCTGAGCGATTATGTCTTCTGAACATTGGACGTAGCCGTCATTTTGGTAATCATTTGCTCGATTGGCAAACGTTGTTCGGGAGTGTGTCTGTTCATTATGAAATGGCAAACAAAATTGAATATAAAGCAAGTACCAGCTGTAAAACCAGCAACTCTGTAAAAAAATCTTGTTTATTGAAAACCACACGTCTAGAAAACACCCTTTATAAATTATAAATAATTTTATAAATTTTATATTTTCCACATTTCAGTATGATCGTCCAGTGCGCTTGATTTGTAATCGTGGCGTTTACGATTATATACCAAATCCGCGAAAATGTGGTTACTACTATTTCTGCTCCAACGGCTATTTGATGATTTTCCAGTGTCCGAATCATTATTTATGGCATTACGAGCGACGCACTTGTGTACATCATTCGGAAGCAAAGTGTTTTTCCAGCGCCATTGCAGAAACGATGCTCAGTCGAATGTCGTAAACAAATTAAATATGTAATTAATAAATATGAATTACAAGTGAAATTTTGTGGAATAATTATTTTTGAATTGATACGCGAAAAATTTGTATCAATTGTAGTTGAGGTATTGTTTATATCTGTAAATTCAAAATTCCTAAAGCGAATTTATGTGGAAGGTTCCAAATTCAGGTATTTATAATATTCCTGCTTGAAATCTCAGCTTTTTCGCTTCCTCGTGTGGGTAGAGAAATTATTTTACTTGAAACAAGAAATTTCTAGTTTTAAAAACTTGCTTTCCTCCAAATGTACTCTCCAATAATTCTGCTTTTAAAAGTCTCATCACAAAAGAGAACTCAAAAAATTTCGAAAAAAGCCAAATATTTTTAGACTTCATTTAAACCTTCTTACAATGAAGCAGTTACAAGTATTTTATTTTTTTTCACGAAAATTATGCTACTGGAAATAATTGATAACCGAAATTTTCTAGTTAGGTTTGTGTATATACAGTAAAAATAGTCACTTTTGAGTTATAATTAGGCGAATAAAGCACATGCGAAAGGTATATATAATACTTGTAGTAAATGAACTAGTCTTATCAAAGTGTTGATTGTATTTCTTTGGTTAAGTAGCATAGGTAGACCGTTTTTTCTTTGAATTTTCTTTGAATTGGCAACAAATCATATCTTCTCAATTATTTGGTTCCGCGAAATATTAGATGCTTATCGGGACTAACAACGCGTACTTACTCCACTGTGGTCCTTAAGTAGCTCTACAGTTTTGACAACCAGCTTTTGTATCAAAATAAATATTAGCATTGATAAATGATGTCACAAGAGTATTCATAGTGACATTGTATACACGATTTCTTTGTATAACTTTGTATACAGGAGATGTATGTTTGTAAAAAAGTCATATCGTCACAAACTTCTCTTTGGCTTCGCCGTTTTCAGTAGACAGCATAACGCAGAAAGGGCAATATTCTTGGCCATAAATTATATGCGTTGTGATTCTTCTTGAAACTTGAATGCCTAAAGCTACGCCAGTCTAAGCATGAAATTTTAGTGAACTCCCCTTACTGGAATTTTAAAGAGATTTTTTGACCTAAAAGCGGGTGGTGTCACGCCGACTGGAAACATTTTCACTCCTCACATATATTTCCAGCGTACTTTTCAAAATTTCCGTTGGCAAGCGTAAACTAGTTCCAACTCAACAAATGATTGCTACATCACAAGTGTGACTAAATCGAGTCTTCTCTCCTCACTCCAAGATTTTAAATAAGTATAGATTATATGTATATTTTAATACAAAATTAAATTATTATTTCTAATTGCGGTCAACCCTGAGGAGGAAATGACAACGAATGAAAAAAAAAAACAACACTAATTGGTGGAGGAGCTTGCCCGAAAATCGCTTTAGCGGGAGCAAATTGCATTTTATATATACAATATTATATATAAATATATGTGTTTAAGCGCCTGCTTAAACAGCCCTATTACGTATATGTAAATAAATGTAACTGCCGTGCGCGTGGAATTACCCGTCTCTTCCCACTATTTCCGTGTTACGTTAAATACTTTAGCAAAAGTAGTTTAAGTTAAAATACTTTGTGAAGTAAAATTAAGTGAATTTTTTTTATTAAAGGTTGTGAACAATTTTAAAATTGAAAAAAGTGCTTTTTTATTTCCACTGTGGGCCCGCTCGACAGCCGGCATCCCCTTACTTACCCTCAAGTCCTTGTGGACTTGAACAATATGTATAAAGAAAAGACAGATGCATATTATTTTCCCATGATTTTTTTGGATGTCAATGGTTCAACATTCCGGTTAATAACGGGACATCACATCGCATCACATTTATATGCCAGCAGCTGTTGCACTTGCAGTACCACGTTCTCTTCCATCTGTCGAGCCAATTTTTCAACATAATTTGCGATTGCTTGATCCTCTACGGTTGCAATGGCGACTCAATTTCGAGTTTAATGAAATGATTCGCACTTCTCTTTAACGGATCCGGAACAAAAAATAGTCTTAACTATTAATTTAGTAAACGAGAGCATCGAAAATTTTCCGAAAGAATGTGGCAAATAACGAATAGAAACGATCAGCTAGCGGCCTCTAGCTATTGTAGAATTGGTGTATACGTGTACATATACACATGCATATGTACAGAGTGCTCCACCTTTTATGTCGGTAGGGAAACAATGAATAACTTTGAGAAAAAGCAACCGATTTCTATGAGTGATGTATTTTTATTCAGTTTGGTTCCTTACAATTGTTTTGGACTAGTTTTTGAGAAATATATCAATCGAGTAACTACCTTTATTACCAATTACAAAATGACTCCTTTTTTCTGCGTTTGTCATCATCATCATCATCACCCTGGCAAGTCGGAGTTCATAAAAAAGCTTAGAAGCTACATTGCTGGGTATAATGAAGGCTCTGTAACCTCTGACGAAAATAAAGAATTTGATGATAGCCTTTTGCACAATTTCCGATTTTAAAGAATTGTATTCATCCAGCTACTTCTATTTTTATACACTCATATGTACATATGTGGCTGCGACAATTTGAAATTTTGAACAGTCGCTGAATCTGAACGAAAAGAAATGGACGAGTAAGATAGTGATGGCTGGGAAAATGTAGCTAGATATATATGCCATAGATTGTGCAATGAAATTCCCAGCCCGTCCACCAAAACTCACCACAACCCATTTCGGATGAAGGTATGCGCTAATTACTTAGGAATAAGCCTCTTTAATATCACGTATAAGATCCTCTCGATCGTATTATGTGAAATACTAGAAACCCATCTGGCAAATTCACTATTAACCATTTCGCCAAATCTTGAAAAAATCCGTGAAAAGAGGATCACGCACATCACCTCTTCGTCAATTTTAAAGTAGCCTTTACGACACCGATGATATTGATATAATTGAGCGTCAACAACCGCTCAGTGAGTTCTTCTTTTTCAAGACTGTATAAGGAAACGAAGGATATGGGTTTGGTAGTGGATAAGAGCAGATGAAATATTTTCCGTCATCAAACAAAAAGCCCTTGTATTTGCGACTTGGCTCCCACCTGGCTATTGGTAATCATAACGTTGAAGTCGTAGATAATTTCGTCTATGTTGGAACCAGTATTAGCACCAATGAAATGGCCAGCCTGAAAATCCAACGCAAACTTACGCTTGCCAACAAGTGCTACTTTGGTCTGAGATGGTAATTAAATAGGAAAATCTTTTCTAGAAGAAGACAGGCCATATTCTACAAATCACTCATCATATCGGTCATACTATTTGTCGTGGAGCCATGGACTATAACAACATTGGATTACTTCGGTACGGAAGTTTTCAAGGGAAAGATTTATGAGAACCCTCCAACTTTGTAAGGTTTCGTTGCAGTGTGTGGCATTGGGAGCAGAGAAGGAGGAAGGCCTACCCTCCTTTGGAAGGATCAAGTGGTGTAGGTGTTTTCGAAAACTGTGTAAAGAAAAAAGGAATGACGCACTGTTGTTAACTAGGCAATAACCCCGTACGCGGTTTCGACGCTAGTAATGAGGTTTACTTTGGTTCAAAAGTATTTTTTGTCCGTACCTTCGAGAGCTATTTAATATTTAGCTCAAAAACCCCTTTCCTTGGATAACAGAGGAGTTACGCTAAATCTTGCAAAGGTAATTAGTCTTATTGTTTCATAGTGACTTCGGTTGCTGTGGGCATTTTTTCACCATTTCTTCGCCCAACATCTTGATTATTGAGATCAATAGTTCGACTTGTCAGATAATAAACTTCATAGATATTTGTAAGTGCATGGGTGGGTCATATTTACTTCATTCATGGATTTTTATATTAAGATTTATAGGTGCTTACTTATAGTAAAGTGATTAGTATATTAGGTGGTGAATATACCAGCGTCCCAATAGCACCAAACGATGGTTCCAACGACTCTCACAACAAACTAATGCGTCCTATTTTATTGCAACTCATATACATATGTATGTATTTACATATATGTACAATTATTTGAATGCTTCTATCATTTACCTTGTTCAAATTTGAAATTTTAATCAAAATAACGAACACAACCCACGTACACACCTACGTACATATGAGTATGAGTGCATAAATCTGCACCATTTTCAGCCAACACTGAAAGAGGAGTAAAAAAATATAAATTTTTTTAATGAATTTTCGTCTCTCGCAACGCCATTATCATTGCTGCTGCTGCATGCATAACTAAAATGCTGGAGTAGAAGTTGATACTACGCAAATTTGCACCTCTGCACTGGAGAGAAAATTGTCAAAGGTGAACAAGTTTGACAGTCATTTTGCGACATTTGAATATTGAAATCGATTCTGTTTGGTATGCATAAAATGTGCCCCTTTCAACGTAGATTGAGTTTGTACAATTTTTATATCTCTTTCACTATTACGGTAAATTGTATGAGTTTGCAATTGAGTTTGAAAATTTCACACTGAGATTGTTATGGAATGAAAGTCTTTGGCTTTATATTGTACATTTTCGACCGAATTTCGAATAAGTAAAGGTTTTTTCATCATTTCGGTTAATATTCTTTATTTTAGTGATTTATGTATCAAAAATATTTAGTATGAATTCTTAGTATTTTTAAAACTTTTACGTTAGGATAGAGAGAGATAGAGAGAGAGAGCAAGAGAGAGAGATAGAGATAGAAAGAGAGAGAGAGAGAGAGAGAGAGATAGAGAGAGATAGATAGAGATAGAGATAGAGAGAGAGAGAGAGAGAGAGAGAGAAGCACAGTTCTTAGCCAACTCCCTTCATTACAATCCATCAGCTACAGTCGGCTTAGCATAAACTGTAGGTCTTTCCATTTCTTGGAAGATACATCAAAACGTGCACCACAAATTTGGAGAAAGAGCTCGGTCGAAAATTGTTTCAGCGGTTAAAAAACGTATCATTTCAGTAGTCCGCTGACATCCAGATCTTGAAAGCTCATATCGTGCACTTTTATATAATTGATATAGTCTTCGATAGGTTACATTCGTGAGAAGCCGAATTGCTTGTGTTCAATTGC